AGCAAAGACCAACACGTAAAGCCCATCCAACGCTCTCCAGTGCGTCAGGACGCCGTTTCGGGCCCAGCCAGCCCATCGCGGCCGTACGCTTGTACCACAGCCCTCGGGAGATTCCCGACGGCACGGTTAGGAGATGAAGTGAGTCTGCGGGGTGATCTGTTCCAACTTGTGATCATGTGATCAGCTGGGTTGGCTGAGGCTTCGTAATTGCAGATGGTGACTTCGTGGCGATGAGCCTGAATTAAGATTAAACGTGTTAGTCCAGAGAAGAGCAGAATACAAGTCCCTCCTAAACCCCTTGACTGGTGAGAGCTGAGCAGGTTCCCGTTTTACAGACTTTTCATCCCAAACCCGCCATCCCCACCCCACCCTCACCTTCCTCACCCCCAGAGCTCAACTTACACGATGATTTAAAGCCCCTCTTACACCATTAGCAGACTCTTGCTCCTCTCTGCCCTCACCTACCTCTGTCCACTCTCCTTTCAGGCCTATATAAAAGATCTTTGTTGTCTCTGCTCCAAAGTTCTTTGGAAAGTGGATGGAGAGGTGGTAAACGTTGGAGAAACGGGCAGGTCTGAAAGAAAAGACACTCTGAAATCGGAGCTGTGTGTACAGGCTGCCACGCCACCTCCTCTCAGCACAGCACCGTAGCCCTGCACCGTGTGTAGCTCCTACCCTAATCCAAGTCAGACTTGGGAGCAAACGACTGAGGGTGCAGGAGGAGCAGCTTCCCTCAAGCTTACAGTGAGCTGCCCAGCAACAAACTGCCACTGGGGCCAGGAGCAGGGGATGCGACACCGGGATGATTCTGCATCCCAAAAAGTCCTGGGTCACAGGCACACCCCTGGCTCCGGGAGGGTGTTTTCAGACCAGAACTCTTGTTTGTCAAGGGCAGGAAGGAGCCAGGGAGGCAAACCCTACTGTGGGCAGCTGTGAGATGCTGGGGAAGGAACTGCCCTCTGCTACCACTTTCCTAAAATTCGGCAGCACGTCAGCATGCCGGATGGAGTGCAGCTCCTGTGCTTGGGAGGAGCAGCCCCCCGCACCCCCAGGCACACGGGTCCGCATCGTACTTGGTGGGGTACTCCAGCTCGCCCGTCAGATCCCGGTTCAGGCTGAACGTCTGCTCGGGTTCCCTGGCTGTGTCATCAAAGGACATGTGAGGAATGTTCCTGAAACTGGGAAGAGAGGCAGGAACACCAGGAAGTTATTAACATACGGGTCAGCTAATTGGTTTCCTCCTCATCCATTAGCACTACCCAGTCTTCTCAACAATAAGAAACCGGATTTGCTTTGTCTCTTAGGCAAAAAACGCAAATGCCACCACAAAGCACCCCCACGTTCCACAATACCCAACACCCTGAATAAATAAGAGCAAGAAAAGTCTGTGAGACACAGATCTTGGCACATACGGGTGACAGCAGGAAGGATCTCTCTCCCTTCGGGAGCTAAAGCAGGCCACGTGGCTCAGCACGGCAGAATCGCCGCCAAGAGCCGCACAAACCTCACCTGGCTGCAGGACACTCCGTCACTTGTGTCCCTCCCTCCCTCCCAGGCCTCAGAGTTCTCCCCCACTAAGCGTTAACCCTTCTTGGCCCACTGACCCTCCTGCAGCCCGCTAAGCCTGCAGCAGGTTGGTTTCTGCACAGCACGGCCAGTGTCTCAACCAAACGTCCTAATTTTCTCCAGAGAAAGGGCAGCAAGCAGTCACGCTCGTCTCCGTACAAGCCACGGTTTCGCTTTCATCCTGAGGCCCTGCAGGGTCACGCTGCCTTCTCCCACGCTGCCAGGCACTCCCGAGGGGTGACCGGAGAAGCACCTTTCCCATCAGCGGCGAGTCAATCAGTCGGGTTCAGGCTCCCGCAAAGCAAACGCTCGTTTCACTTACAGTCTCATCTCTGCCGGATGTGTACCATCATCTTCTCCCATCACAATTACTCCTTTTAATTTCACGTTGCCCGTAAACCTACCGAGAGACACAGAAATGGCGTTTTCATCTCCAAAGCAGCCCTGGTTACAGGAGCACCCAAGGTGTCGCACCCCCGGGCACAGAAGGGCGAGGCCCAAACCCTGCCAGCGGCCAGAGCGCCGCCGAGGGGAAGAACTTACGGGATGTTAAACAGAAGCTCCTCATCATCGTCGCTTTCCACGAACTGGGGAGAGAGAGGAGCAGGTCAGGGCTGGCCCCGGCTGCGCAGGTAGGCGGGTGTCGCGCCGGGGTAACGCAAGGATCGGTGGGGCGGGTGGAGCGGCTCACGGGCAAGGCGGGGACCCACCTTCGCTCCCGCACC